CTCTTTAGACTTTTATTCAAGATTTCTGTATATACAACCTAAAATCCTATTTGCCCTACCACTAGCAACAGCATACTGCTTGGATGGATTAATTATAATACATGGAAGGTAATGGATGTGGGATATCATAATTTGAATTATAAGTATAATCTTGATGGGAATAACTTTAACAGTGTTATAGAAGAGAAATATCTTGGTGTTCTGGTTTATCAGTCTCTCAAGTCATCCAAATAATGTGATTGCTAGTAGCAGGTCAAATAAGATTTTAGGTTGTATCTAAAAAAATATCGAATACAAGTCTAAAGAGGTTATAATGTATTTTATAGGCCATTGGTTAGGCTACACTTGGAGTTCTGTGTTAAGTCTTAGGCTCCTTACCTTACATTGAATTGTTGGAAAGGGTGAAGAGAAGGATTTCTAAAATGATATCTGGGATGGAAAGATTGTCATAAGAGGATAGGTTAAGATCTCTAGTAGAGAGCAAAGTTATCGAGGTTGTGTATCGCTGTGATTTATAGTGTATATTATAAAAGTTGTTAAGTTTAAAGTGACGAGAAACGTACTGACTGTGGAATTACTGTGTACTAAAAGTTTGTATCGAGAAAGAATAAACTGGTTTAACCAAGAAAGTACTTGTATCGCAGAAGTTCCTTGGAAAGAATTTCTAATGGAAATTAACAAACAAGCAGATATGTAACATTATTAATTAGTCCTTCTATTGAAAAACACTATTCTATAATAAAATCATTCTGAATATACTGTCCAATAAAATGACCCATACTAATGAGACAGCATATAAATGACACAATTAATTCACTAAAGCCATTCTTACTAATGAATCAGTAATCAAAGTACAAATGCTTTTTATTTTCTTCAATTATTTTTACCAAACTTTATATAATGTAAAGACGTTTCACTTACTAAAACCAAATACTGTAAAAATCAGTGTTCATTTCAAAGGCAATATTTGTCTGTTCAGTGTATCCTCACTAATCAGTTCATATTTTAAATATTCTGTTCACTTACTAAAACCATACTTTGAGAGAATTTAATTAATGCATAAAACCATTCTAAATAAATATAATGAACTTGAAAAAGACTGTTCACTAACTAAAATCCTATTAAGTAACATGTTATTACCTAAAACATGTTTCAATGACTATAATCATGATTTTCAACTTATTTCACTCAAAAGACACTTGATAAACCAATCCTGCTATAAGTGACTAGAACATTTATAATACATCTCTTTGAAACTAGAAGTTACTTTTTGCTAGTGTAGGAAAATCATTTTTACCCATCAGCCCATAATTGGACAGCCTTAATATGACTTTGTTCCCTTGAAGTTAAAACACAGGCTTGTTGTTTAGACAGAGATTCCAACTTTTCTATTTCCTGTTTAAGTTCAGTATCTCCTTGTAGTGTTCTTCCAAGACTAATCAGATCCAAGCCTAGAGACATCACCTGACCCATAACTAGGAATGAAATACTCACACTTAATATTTCAGAGAATGGACAAAAACAAACTAATGAGTGCACTTTGAAAATTTGTAACAATATTATATGGTGTTTTACAATCATTAAAAACTGATATTTCATCTTTCTCAACTATATTTACAGTAAAGAGTGAGTGCATACACTTTCTATCCAAAAACCATGAAAGTACATATTTGTATACACTCAAAACATAAAAAAAATGCAAATACTTCTAAACAAAAGCTAGGTACAACCAGATAAATACCAATATCCATATAAAATTAGTACAGTCAATATATTTGTATCATGAATCTCAGTAAATCATGTTTACATATACCCGTAGAGTGAATGTCAGTATTACACCTGCATATTGGACCTCAGTAAATCATGTGTACCTAGAAATATGTAAAAAATTCTCATACCATGTTGACATTTCATAAATATTAAGAAAAATGTGAAGTAAAAAATAATTTTGGTCACAAACTATTACAAATTTTAAAACAAATATAGAAAAATACAATTATTATAATTTATTAATATAAATCATTATAAATTTTATACTTTTGTTAAGTAGATGAATACTGTGATAAGACATTTAAACTTACCTTTTGCAAATGTTCCATAATTTAAGTGTAAATATATTTTCTTTTTTTTAACTGGGAAAACAAGAATAAAGATCCTTGTCTACATGTTGCAGAACAATCATCCATAAATTTATATCTTACCAAAATTTGGGTCCGCTGCTTTCATATTTTCTAGAGTCATCTTCAAACCACCATACATTTTATCATCATACCATCCAACAAACTATAGCAATGAAAGAACAAACAGTTTGATTTTACTTTATACATACAACACATTAACTTAATATATTTTCAGGGAGAATTTAAATTACTTCACTGGGGAATACATAAACTACATTTTAATAAAATTAGAGACTTTTCGACAACATATTGCTTTGAGAAGTATTGATCACATTCTGATTGTAAACAGGAGAAATATGAACATATTTATTGTTCCTTTGTGTTAGTAATTTTATAGAACTTTTTGAAAACTGGAATTGGACAATTTGGATCCTTCAAGTAGGGCTGATGTGTCAGAAGTTATAAGAGTTAATTGAATAAGAACTTTTACGATGTTACTTTGAAACTTTTTTCCATATAGACAGATTACAGAAGAAGGATGCTAATTTGTTTCTTTCGATAATAGTCTGAATTCTGTAGAATGATAAGACATCAAGAAAATGAAGTAGGGAAGAAGCTCTGTTAAGTGTATTTGAATTGTAAACTTTATGGAGAAAATATTTAAAAAATATTGGTAATTTCACATATTAGAATTTCAAATAGCCTGAAATTGAGTTAACTGATAAATTTAAATGTAGTAGTTAAATTAAAGCCACTATATAGTCAGTTTATGATATTTGCCAACAAGAATGATACACGAAGTTTTCTTTTTTAACACAAATACGTTTTAATATACTGTTACGTCTCTGGTTGTTTGTTAATTTCCGCTGTCTTCCGTGACTTCCGCTGTCTTAACACTGCCCCTTTCTTAGTATTGTTCGTCCTGAACAATAGCCACTTACATTAAACCAATAGAT